ACAATTAGATTATGAGAGCTATAATCTAATCAGTGGTTTGATGAATTTGAAAAATTAATAATTTTGAGGAATTACTGGGTGGTGACTGTAAGTGAGTGGAGAACGATTAGAGGAAGTAATTCACTGGGGAGTGTGACCTTGGGGATTATATTTTGTCCTTGGCTCTTTGTTCTTTCTTCTTTCTTCCTGGCTACCGTGAGCTGAGCTTTCCTCCACCGTCCTGCTCTGCCATGATGTTCTACCTCACCCTGGGCAGGGTGATGGAATCTGCCAGGCATGGATGGAGCCTCTGAAACTGTGAGCCCCCAATAATTTTTTGGGCTCTGAGTTGTTCTTGTCAGGTATTTTGGTCACAGTGATGGAAAGGTGACTAACACAGGGTTGTGGACAGCTTGGCCGGAGCTGCTTTGCATGGGAAGACTGCCGGATCCAGGGCTGGGTGGGCCCCCATCCAACTCATTATCCAACTCTCACACAGCAAGCCAATATTGCCACTGCCATAAATCAACCCAGGACCAGGTACCTGGCAGCTAGGGACAGCCCCTACTATGGAAATTGACCAGCCCTAAACTGGTTGCCCTACCTTGACTTTCCTGTAGGAACTTAAACAATGGCTTTGGCCTAGGCTCTTCCCTCCCTCCTGCTCTGCCCCTTAACTAAACCTGGTTATTCTTCCTCCAGCCTCCTGGGATATGGATGCCCCTTCTCTGGAAAGGCAACAAACAAAACCTCCTTCAAAAACAATAACCCCCCCGGGGCCTCAAACAAGCAACCGCCGAAATAAAAACCAAAACTGGAGACTGCTCACAGCTTACTACAGTTTGTTCCTTTTCTAGTTTTTTAAATAGAATCTGAAGTCATCAATTTGAGGTTTTTTTTTTAATATGTTCAATTTATTGCTCTCAATTTCTCTCTAAACACTGCTTTCATTGAATGCCACAGTACTGGCCTACTGGGTTTTGCACACATCATTCAGGCATGAATACTTTCTAATCTTCCTTGTAATTTTTTTTTGACTTATGGGTTATTTGGAAGAGTGTTAGTTTTCAAATCCATGAGGATTTCCTAGATATCTCTGTTATTGACTTTTAATTTAATTTCATTATCACAAGAGAATATGCTTTATTTAATTTGAATTCTTTCAAATATATTGAGTCCTGGGTTATGAGGAAGAATACAATATATGTTAGTGGGTATTTTATGTGTATTTAGAATGAATATTTTGCTGTTGTTGGGTGGAATTTTCTGTAAATATCAATCATGTCAAATTGACTGATGGTGTTTTTCAAATCTTCCACATCATTGTCAGTTATTCAGCTGTTCTATTTGTTATGTCAATCCTTCTGAGTGGATATTGAGGTCTCTAATTAAAATTGTTGGTTTCTCTAGTTCTTACAGTTCTATTTGCCTTTTGGGGGGAGGGGTGGGGAGTTCTGGGGGTTGAACTCAGACCACCATCCCCAGCCCTATTTTGTATTTTATTTAGAGTTAGGGTCTCACTGAGTTGCTTAGTGTCTGCTTTTGCTGAGGCTGGCTTTGAACTCGTGGTCCTCCTGCCTCAGCCTCCTGAGCCGTTGGGATTATAGGCCTGCACCACCACATCAGGCATTTGTTTTTGTTTCATGTATTTTGAAGCACTGTTAATAGATGCATAAATATTTATTAATGGGAAATGATCTTTTCTCCCTGCTAATGTTCTATACTATAAAAGTCTACTTTAATCATGCCATTCAAGCTATTTATTTATTGTTTTTATTTTTTACTGCAGTGTAGTTGACAAAAGTTGTATGAGTTTATGGTGTCCAATGTAGTGTCTTGGAATATGTATACAGTGTGAAATGGGTAAACCAAGCTAATTAAATCAAGCTTGCTATTGATTAGTGTCAATGTGGCATATATTTTTTATTTTTAACCTACTTTTGTCCTTGTAGTAAAATGGTGTATGACTATGTGTGTGTGTGTGTTATGCACCATATAGCTTTCTATTTCTTTTTTCAGCTTGGCCATCTCTACCTTTCAACTGGAGTCTTCAGACTACTGTGATTATTGGTATACTTGGGTTTAATTTTAGGATTTTTCTATTTTCTCATTTCTCCCATCAATTGTGTTATTCCTCTTTCTGCTGCCTTTTACCTTACTTGAGAATGTTAATGGCTCATTTTTCATCTGTGTTGGTTAATTAATCACAACTCTTTAATATATGGTTTTTAAATAACTGCTCTAAGCCTTAGGTATCCATCTTTTAAATTATTACTGTTAACTTTCAAGTGATTCTGTACAATTTGTGAAATATAAGATCCTTAATGCTATACATCCTTGCTTGTATTTTGCCCTCTTATTTCCATATATCGTATTCCTCTATATGGTGTAGACCTCCTATGACATTATTTTTAAATTTAAGGATTCAGTTCTCTTTAAAGAGATTAGAATAATAGGGAAATTGTTTTATAATGAAGTTAATTATTTTATAATATAGTTAACATTTCTGATGCTATTTATTCCTTTGTGAAGATTGGTTTTTATGATAATATTTCTTTTCTTTCTGAAGGTATATCTTATAGTATAGGTCTACTGGTAATTACTTCTTACAGCTTTAAAAAATCTGAAAAAAATATTTTTCCTTAATTTTGAAAGACATTTTCAGTGGGTTCAGAAGTCTACTTGTCTTTCATCGCTGGAAGGATATTGTTCTTCTATCTCTGACTTGTATTGTTTCTGGAAAGAAGGCTGCAGTGTATTTCTTTGTTTACCTGTAATGATCACATCCCCTTTTTCTGGATACTTGAACGATTTTCTCTTTGTTGCTGGTTTTTAGCAATGTGGTTGTTAGGTGTTTGCTGTAGTTTTCTTCATGTTTCCATTGCGTGAGACTTATTATGATTTGGGGGGCTGTGAGTTCATTATTTTCCTTAATATCTTGAAAAAAATTCGTCTTCAAATATTTTTGTTTTGCCTACTTCTTTTCTTCAGCAATTCATATTACACATATTGATGTCATCCTAAGCTAACTAATGCCACATCTGTTTTGCTCTATTATTTTTCCATCTGTGATTAACTTTGGATAGTTTGTAATGCTGTGTCTTCCAGTATTACAAGACAGAGCATCACTTATTAATCTTTTTTCCTACAATGTCAAAGCTACTATACACCCAGCCAGTGTATTTTTTTAACTCAATATCATAATTTTCCATCTGTAAAAGTGTTTTTAACCTCTTCTGCATCTTTACTCAGCATGGTTTGTCTTTCCTCTACCATCTCGGACACATGGAGTTCAGGAGAAACACCTGCTTCAGATCCTGTCGATATTAAGTCTATCATCTCTGTTATTTCTGGGTCAGTTTTGGTTGGTTGATTTTTTTCCCCTTCCTCGTGATTGCATGTTATCGATTCATTGCATGCCTAACAGTTTTTAAAAACATTTTGTTGGGATTTGTGGTTACGTATTCCTATATGCACATAATATAACAATATAATTTGGGCAGTATCACTCCCTAGCATTTTTCCCCTCTTGGTCCTTTTCCTCTACTGAACTCCCTTTGATTTCCATGAGATCCATCCCCCACCTTTGTTTTCCTTTATTCCTTTCTAGTTTCTGCATGAGAGAAAGCATAAGACTGTTATCCTTCTGAGTTTAACTTATTTCACTTAACATGGTTATCTTTAGCACTGTCTGTTTTCCTGCAAATGACATAATTTTATTTTCTTTATGGCTAAATAAAATTCCATTCTGTCTATACACCACATTTTTCTTTATCCATTCATCCATCAATGGATACCTAGGCTGGTTCCAGTTTGTCAGTTGTGAATTGTGCTGCTATGAACCTGGGTATGCATGGATCACTATGCAAAATGACTTTAATTCTTTAAGATAAATACCAAGGAGGGGTATACCTGGGTCGTATGGTGGTTCCATGCCTTGTCTTTTGAGGAGACTCCGTACTGACTTCCAGAGCAGTTGCACTAATGTGTAGTCCCACCAACGATGTAAAAGTGTTCTTTCTTCTCCACAACCTTTCCAGACATTGTAGACTTCACCATGTTATCTGTTTTTCTGTCTATAAAAATGTTCGTGATCTTTGTTCTGCCGCAGGACTGTTATTTGGAAGGGGTTTTATACTTTCAGGTCTTGCTTTAAGCTTCATGAGAATCAGGAGAGTATATATTTGAATCTTAATTTTCTCCAACTAGTGAGTCAGAAGCTTCTGGGCATTCTACTTGCTGCCCCATGATGAATGAGGTTTCCCCTTAGGGCTGTAAGTGTGCTCCTTCTTTTGGCATTTTGACTCTAGATCTGGCTCTTTAAAAAAAAAAAAACAACTGATTTTTATACTGATTTATACTTAGCTAAAAACTCCAGGGGACTATCTGGGGATCTGCAAACACTGTCTATGTGTGCCACCATAACCACGTGGGCACTTTGAGCTGCAAACTCTGAAGTTACACAGATTCCCAACCCCATCTCTTCCACTCAGAGAGACACTGGACTTTGCCTGTGTTTCCTCTTTGCAGTGTCATAGCCAGGCAGTAATTTGGGCAGTTAAGTTTGGATAATTGCTCCCTTCCTTTATTTCAATTTTCCTGAGATCTCTGTGCTTTATTCCTTCCTTCTCGGGGCCTTGAAGAGTGTGTTTTATAAACTTTGTTCATTTTTTAGTTGTTCAGCTGGGAAGGTGAATCCAGTCCTCATTGTTTCATGTTATTCTGAAGTGGCTGACTCCTCTCCTACATTATTCCTGTTTCTTATATGAGCAAAGAAGGAGTAAGAGAGGTTAGGTAATGTGCCCAAGGGTACAGTACACAGGTAATAAGAGACACAGATAGAACCGAATGTAAGTCTTCCAGGCTCCCAAGATGATGCTCTTAAGCATAAGATTGGAAAACTTTTATATGTAGTATGAATCAGTGTATTCGATGATTGTTGTGTTTATGTGTATCTATCACATTAAGAAACATTGGAAAAATTTCTAACGGAAGTTGCTTCCCCTTTCTCCCTTTCAAAGATGAATGTAAGATACGTGAAGAACCAGTCATTTTAGTTTCATCTGCAAATGAAATTGATGTTCGTGCCTGTCCTCTTAACCCAAATGAAAACATAGGCTCGGTGATTTGGTATAAAAATGACAGCAAGACACCTATATCAATGGAGCAAGACTCCAGGATTCATCAAGAAAAGGAAAAACTCTGGCTTGTCCCCGCTAAGGTAGAGGATTCAGGACATTACTACTGTTCAGTAAGGTAAGAGAGTCCTCTGTTACAAACGTGTTCCAAGTACCTACAATAGTTGAGGACAGAAAAATCTCTAAATAATTTCTAATTTCCCTATTTCACTTTATTTTAGAAATTCAACTTTCTGCCTTAAAATTAAAATAACTGCCAAGTTTGTGGAAAACGAACCTAACTTGTGTTACAATGGAGAAGCTATATTCACACAGAAATTACGCATTGCCGGAGATGGAAGACTTGTGTGCCCTCATTTGGATTTTTTTAAAGATGAAAATAATGAGTTTCCCACAGTAAAATGGTATAAGGTAATCTTATTTTAAATATGGCATTTTACTTATCTAGTAGATGAAATAGTTTTCTGTGTTGGACACAAAATGAATCTGCAAAGTGTTTTTTCCATTTCTAGATTGTGTTCTTCTGTTGTTGTGAAGGTTAATAGGGAATCTAAAAAGAATCATAAGATTGCATTCATTTAATTTGAAGCTTAACTAAAATCTTACTTATCATTGTATTTATTTAATAAGATATAGTTGAAAAAAGTAACAGGATAAATGAAACCTGTTTAAGGACAAGACTGATTATAAAGTGAGGTGTTTAAAAGATAACTATCTATTATAGATTACTCCATGTTTTATTTAAAACTAAGTGGTCCTTAAATAACTTGATAGTTTCTGTTAAATAACTGTTAGAAAAGTGGCTTGACTAGCATTTCATATCATATTTTGGCACTTTTAACCTACCTCATCTGGTAGAACTTAATGGGAAATCATCTTTTAGAGGTTAGGAAAAGCAAAATAGTATCAGTGAAGAAAGAGAGCACAGCATTGATAAGAAATTACAGTGTTCACATTCTTTCCTCAAACACGTTTTTCTTGCTTAATTAATTTGCCCTTCACTTGTGTTTGTAGCACAAGGCTCCGACATAAAAAATTTAATGATTTTTGCAAAAAGAAAACTTTTTAGGTATATTGGGCAAAGTGACTAGTTAATTTTCAATGCTTCCTTTCTCCCTCTTGTCTAGGATTGCAAACCTCTGATTCTTGACAACGTATACTTCGTTGGAGTCACAAATACGCTTCTTGTGATGAATGTGTCAGAGGGCCATAGAGGGAAGTACACTTGCCATGCATCCTACATGTACTCGGGAAAGCCATATCATATTACCCGGGCAATAGACTTTATTACTCTAGGTGAGTCATAACTCCAGCCCCAGGCGTTTAGGTCTAGAGAGGCCCAGACACCATGACTTGAACATTACTTTTGTTGTCTGTAGAGGAACTAAATCTAAGAGAAGGTTGATGACTCCACAGAGGTCCCCTGGCTTTAGTTTAGCTTTTTGTTCCTGAATAGGTAATGGAAACATTTTTCATTTTCATTTTAGATGCAGTGATAATTAAACAGAGATGTTATGAGCTTTCCAACTCACCTAGGAGCCTTATTGCTTGACATGGCTAACGATGTTCTTGGGAGAGCTCTGGGGCTCCTCTGGCTGAGAGCCTGCCCTTGAGGAGTCTCTGAGTGTCTTTCAACAAGAATAATTGCCACAGATGAGCCTTGGGACAAGTCACACTCCCAGGACCTCCTCCTGTGCCTTCTGTGTTAGCCCAGTCCTCTTTTGTAACATGACGCCACCTCCCAAGGTCACTGGGAAGCTTAGATTTGAGGATGTGCAGCTTGTGCTCATGTGCCTGAGGCCAAGCGGTGCGAAGGGCAAAACAGGTGTGCAGCTAATTGTGATTGTTCTTAATTTTCTCTGGGCTTTCAGTTCTGTATTGACCGTCTTCCATAGTAAGTTATTTGACAACAAAATGAAGCAAAATGTACTTCTATAGATTACCTAAAAAATGGGCAGGACACTCAGGCTTTCTGTAAATGTTGGCTTGAAGACTAGAACAGTTAATCTAACTGGAAGTTTTGCAAGTTAAAGGATGTCTATTATGTTGGAATAACAGGTATAAGTTGAGACTGTCTCAGACAACCCAGAAGATGATCACACAACACACAGCAACATTTTTCTACGATCATTAATTTTTCAAAGATTAATGATATTGAATAACAATTAATCCCCACAAGCATCACCGAAATCCTAATTTTCAGTGGTCTTTGTATCACAACCACATTTCTGGGTTTTCAACAGCCTTCCTGATTCTTGTGTAGCTCTGATCTCCTTACACAGCAACCAAACCAGGGAGAACTGGCACTAGGAATTTTTAAAAATAGATCCAGTGTGTCTCAAATACTCTTCTGTCTCCTTGTCTGATCCCATTTGTAGAAATAATATACTTTACCCAGATGAGTAAATATTTTATTTTTCCTCCAGACGAAACCCAATGAGGCTGAATGTTTTTCATTCATAAAACATATTTTTTGAATATGCATCATGTGCCAGGAACTGTTTTAAGAATAGATTAGGAAGCCAACCAACAAGCAATAGACATTATTCTGTCCTGCAGTGGATTACTGGAAATTCGAGTTCATCATTTCTGATCATTTTTCTCTTGGCCACAGATCAACTCTGAAAGCCAATTGATCTTACTGTGAAGAAGGTTTAGATCAATTTCTGAGGCTCTTGACAACTTTCTGCCTGTTTTAATAAATTGCCCCAAAGTGCTTGGCACCTGTCAATAACCATATGCACCCATAAGCACAGCACTGTTGGTGTTAGCAGTGTTACTAAATACAAGTAGGCCTGGCGCTCTCCTCGCCTGTCCTGATTTGCTCTAAGAGAGCGTTGTCTTGAGTGTATGGGTTGGCAGGGTCCAGTTTGGTGAGGATGCTCAGGTAGCCGCAGCCTCTGTGGACTCCCTGCCTCCCCCGTCACCTCCTGTCTCCTGCTGTCTATTCACCGTCTGGCCTGGTGTCATTTAGTATGTTTTGCCAAGTGTTGTCATTACTTGTGATTCTCATGTATAAGAGATTGAGAAGCCCTGTGGGCGTTTTTTCTTTCAGAGGAAATCAAACCCGACAGTCCTGTGATTGAAAGTCCAGCAAACGGGACCCTGGAAGTGGAGCTGGGTGAGTAGGCCCTCGTCGGATGTGCCAGAATCATTCCTGCGAACTCAGATGAAAAGTGGCATGCATGAGTTATATCCCAAGGTGTCCTTCTGTTTTTGTTTGTTTTTTGATTCTTATGGCAAAAAACCTAGCCACGCCTGGTTTGCACAGCTCTCCTTTCCCATGAAAACCCAGGCAGAGGCGAAGTTCAAGTTAGGAACAAGAACTGTCATCATCCATCTACCTGGCACAGGATTTATCACCAGAGCTAAGTTTTAGGCAGAAGGGTAAGACTCCAGGTCAAAAAGATGATAGTTATTCAAGAAAAAAATACTTTTGCAAGTTAATGGACCTTTTTTTTTTTTTTACATCAAGAATAAAGCTACATGTGGCTGTGTACATATAGAATTAAATTAAGCCAATTACCTAATTCAGTTAAATTAAAAACTAGTTCCCCCGCCACATTTGCCTTATTTCAAGGCATTAATAATAACCTGTGACTTCTGTTGTTGTAGTCCAGACAAAAAAACAGATTCTTGTCTCAGAGGATCAGTTCTCTTCCTAGGGAAACTGCAGGAAGGCCATGAACAGTTGTTCAAAAATTAGGAGTTTGTAACCTGCAAATTTTGTGCTTTGCCAAGTTTGTC